CATTTTCCTAACAGAAGTGACCCAAGAAATCACTTTTATCATTTTGAAGCCGGACGTTATTTTATCTGAAAAGCAAGAAGAATTAATATTTGAGGTGTTAACTTATTACTTTTGTTAATTTTGCTTCGAATAACATTAGTTGATAATCATATTTTTTAATTATACTTTACAGAATAGCTTATAAGCTTGTAGATTGCTATTTTAGTTCACATTCGTAATTGTAACTATTTCCCAAGTATATTAACCTCTCTACGATCGATATCAACTTGTGTTAAGCTATTATCCTGCCTTTAAAGGAGATCATCGGAGCAAGGAAAGATGTTGAAAATAATGACACAAATATAAAATTGTTAAATGTGTGACTTCTTTACTATTTTTCAGCTTGAACAGGCTGGTATGAATGTACATGCACGTATCACACATTCTATATCAGATCAAGAAGCAAAAGAACTTTATTCATACTTGGCTCAAGAGCCATTCTACGAGGCATTAGTTCAATTCATCACTTCTGGTCCTTCCGAATTATTGCTTGTTTCAAAAGGAGCAGAGGGTGTTATTGATGAAATTAATGAATTCCTTGGACCCTATAATGTCGAGGCTGCTCTAAAAGAGGCTCCAGACAGGTTAATCATGGTTCATGTTTGATTTAACATAATAAAAATATCAATACATTCACAAATATTTTAAATTATTATTATCTCTAAGCTTACGAGCAAGATATGGAACAAGCGATTACAAGAATGCGATTGATTCTGCAAGAGACGCTGGAGAAGTAGCTAGGTAAGCAAAACTTTTCAAAATTCTATCAAATAAAGTAAAGCTATTGAATGAAGCAAATTTTAGTAAATGATTTAAATATTAACCGGACTAGTTTTTGCTCAATATAAAACAGTGACTTTCGTAGTTTAAATTTCTTTAGTAAAACAGCTTAGGTATTTGGTAGATGCTATTAGACTGATGACTTAAATTTCTGAATTTCTTACTAAAATAGCGTCCCTCAGCTAAAATATTTATATAAAGCAACGTATTTAAGAGCCTATTCACAGAACAATTCTTTTCCCAACGAGTATACAATATTATCTTCGCTATATCATTTTGTAGCAAAATGTAAATGTTTTCCGGAGGAGAATTAGGTCGCCTTGGTATAATCTCATTTGTATTACTGAGAAAGTTTAAGTTAAAAAATACAGCTTAATCTGTCCTATATAAAAGAACAGAATCATGACAGTTAATATGGCTATTTTAACCAAATTAATTTAAGGATGAAGTTGTAAATATGGATTGTATG